GCAGTAAGGTGGGCTGACTAAGTTTTTCCCGTGGTCATGAACTAGTGAACAACCCTTAATTTCTACTTACACTTGGTTTTTCTTGGAAAATGGTGAGTTAAATTTTTTTCAGCTCTTCATAATTTTCTATATTTTATCAAAAATGCTTCAAATAGAATCTCAAGTTAATATTTGGTAAATTATAATTTTTTGGCTAAAACATTTAAACTATAATAGTTCAGGCGATTCTCGGCTTCCATGTTGTGTTCTCACTTATAGCGTTTACAGTCTTTACCAAATTCCGGACAAGGATGTCTGTAATTCGTTCGTTCTTGTTTAAGGGGTTTGTTTATTCGCCAGTTTTGAAATAGTCAGTTTTGAATGGGAAATTTCTGGTTTTCAGATTATTAGGAGGAAGTTATTTAATGTTTGCATAAAATTATTGCTTTTTTCGTAAAAAAGCATTTTTTATTGTTTACTTGATTATTTTCAGGTTGTTTCGCTATATGGCTCCATCGAGCCGTGATCTCAAAGAAATGCGGCTATATCTTGGTAGTGGAAAAAACAGGAAAAGGAAGGCCGATAGGTTAGTTTTTTATCCTTTCCTATCAACTCGATCAGTGAAAAAACGATTTCTGGGGTCATTTTTGTGCCTGATTGAATTATTATCGATCTTTAGGTCAGTCAAGGTTTATTTTGCTTTAATCAAACTGGAAATGGAGTATTTCTTCACTTTACTTTTTTTTTGATCGCCATTTTTCTAGAATTAATTTTATTCTGGATTGCTGTTTCTTTAGGAACTCTGATTCAAATGGTTTTCTTGTACCGAAGAATGCTCAGATTTCTCTGACTCCTTCTTTAGTTTCCGAGAATGATACATCTTTACTTCCATGGTATTCGGTTCTCTGTTGGGTAACCGACTACTTCCCGTTTGCAATTGTATGGTTCCATCTCCTCAGGACTGTTATTACTTTATAAATCTCATGTTGTTAATTATTAACTGTTTTTAGATGATATATTTCTGCAGCGAAGTTTATCGTTTTTTTTATCCTGACAGTCAGGCCATTAATGTTTCTATTATTTGGATTCTTCTTTTAACAGCGTTTGTGCTACAGGTAAGTAGTGAGGAAGCGCATAACTTTTTTCCCACTCTTAAGCTTACCATTTAGGCTTACTTGTATGATCTGCTCGTTAGATTTAATTTGATAATCAATGTTTTGAGGCTTTGGCCAGTATGACGAGCACTCTTTTCTTTGGCGACGTTGTAGAAGGGGAAAGGAACGTCATCGTTTCGTTTGCTGCGTTATTCTTCTTTTTTTCCATGATCTTTTTAATGTTTTCGGAAAGCTACTTTGATATTGGGTTCAACAAAGGTTCGTTTTTCTGTTTTTCTCACTGATTCAGAAAATTCTTGTTTTTTTTTAAAATAAATTTTTGCTTTGAAGTTTACGGTCTTACCTAGAAACATTTTTGGATTAAGCTTACGAGGCGTTTATAAAGACGACGTCCGATTTTTTCGTTGCGAGTGATCTGCCTGATATACCGGTCGAACGTTCTCCAGTGTTGCTCTTCATAACACTTTCGATGCTTTTTGCTTTCCTAGGAGCAATGCTAGTTTTTCCTAACTTTCGATATGCTAGAATGTATGCGTGTGCAGTAAAGGAGGCCGAACCGTTATCGAAGTCCATGAATATCCCTTCAATTATAATTTTTATTAATTTTTTCAACAAACCATAGTGCTGTGTTCTTTCTTTGGTGGTACTTTAAAAGTGAAAGCACGTGCAGGATTTTAGAATTTATGTTTTTTCATGTCAAAAGGAGATTCCAAAATTTTACTAGTCGAACGTAAAAGAATAGTTGGGAAGTTCAAGAACTGAGGTAGAAGATGGCTGAAGGGGTTTGTTAACAGTAAATGATTTTTAGGTTTCTATACCATATTGCCTTCTTCTCTCAGTACTTCTCCTTATTTCTTTTCACGCACCCAGTCAAGAACTATATCCTTCATGGTCCTTATAAAATGTAGGTTTCCGTGAAAATTTTGGTAACTTTTCAAGTTGTTAAGTTATTGTACTTTATTTTACTACGTTTTTAGGCTCACGGCTTCTCACCTGAATTCACTACGTATCTGGTCAGTAATAACTTCGATGTTTTTACGTGTACTGGTAAGGCGAGCTCACTTACAGTCACATTTAAACCTTGCTGCTGGCGCTTTGAATGAGATTCGATCTCAGAGTGGAAATATTAATTCTCTCGATCTGCAGAAAATGGTTTGTGACTTAATTGTAGTTTTTTAGTTACTTATATTCTCAACTTGTTTTTAACTTATTTTCTTTACTCTTGAAATGCTCAAGATCTTTACTTGGAAGATTTCTAGGTTTTCCGCTACTACACTTACTTGAACGTTGCGACTTTACAGTACTTTTTACCTCCTATTCTTCCCCTTACATTTGCTCTGCTTTTGAAGACATTAGGTAGGTGTTACGGACAGTACACTATTACCATCAAACAAGTTCCGTAAAAGAGTTCTAATTTTTTTGAGATTATGTTGTGATTGCTGATTTGGTTCATGTCTATAAACCCTGGCAAATCAGAATCACAGTCTGTAATTTATATGCCGAAAGGGTTTTTTACATTTTTAAAGGTAATTATTCTTGGATTGGTAAAGAACTGCTGTACGTAGAAATGAGGTCGGAAAGCAGTTCACTTGCGTCTTTGACTGTACTGCTTGGCCCGTCGGTTCAGCAAGGCATTTGGACCCTTTTCCTCGTGATTAGTTTACTTCATAATTGCCTTCTTTCATTGATTGGTTTCTTTTATAACACGTATATCGTAGAAGCCTAGAAAGATGACTTTAGGATGTGCCCTGGAAGTCATATGTTATAAAGTAATGACAGTCTTTATATCTTTTCACGTTAAAGTTTTTGCTTGATGAGATTTGATCTATAGGTTTATTAAAAAGGTGCAGTTAGATTTGGTAACCTCAGTAGTTGTATGCAAGAAAAAACTTAATTTTAATAAGTTGAAGTTTTGCCGCGCGAAACAGTAGTTTTGTGACTTTTTGTAGGTGGTGTACTTCAGCAGAAGTTATGCTATCTAAAACTATAGTTTTCTTTTTTTTTCTTGTACTGAAAAAGGGAAAAATTTTTGAGTACCACTATAAATCTTTAAACTATTAAAAATCTCTCTAAACCATAGGGAAAACTGTGACAGAATGAAGATGAATGGATAGCAGTCTTTCGAAGCAGCTGTCACATTTTAACTTTTCTTTCTATTTCTGGCTTTGTTTTTCCCATTTTGAGGTTAAGAGGTAGTGCTAGTCGGCGTTCTTGTCATATGAAGAACGTAGTGACACATCGAGAGTGGTAGGTAGTTTCAGTAGAATGTTGATAGAAAAATGCTTTTTCGTTTTTCTTAAAAAAAATCTTTGTTTTAAAAGATTTGTTCTAGGGTATCCTTAATGCCACTCAATCCCAATTTCATTTGATATGCTTTAGAGTACTCGTAGAATCTTGTTGGATTATGACTATGCCCATCGGTTTTTAGAAGTACGGTATTTTTTTGTGAATTTGACTGCCTTAAAATGTACGTGATTTTCAACCGTGGAACAGTAAAGTTTCGTCTTTTATTCTATTTACTTTATTTCAGTTTTACTTGTTCTAGTTTTTTCCCAAGGAAGCTTCTTACTTTCTGTACAGCTCCATTTGGGGTCATGTAGTAGTTCTTACCAGTTCCTCCATGTTGTTTTAATAGGTGTTTCTGATTTCATTAGTAATATTGTAACCAATGGTTACTGTCTGTAAGACTCATGGTGCATTCTTGGCTGCCACTCTAAGCTTGCATAGTGCAATACGATTGTTATATAGATTGTTTTTTAGCTCATTTTGGGGTATTTTATTACCCGGGTGAAATTTGTCGGTAAGGGACGTCTTGTAAAGAAAAGATATTGTGATATTTTGCTGCTGATCCTAAAAACTGTGTATTGAAATAGTTTGCTCATCCAATAAAATTGTTTTACCATTGTTCTTTGAGGTTTCGGTTGGCTTTTTTTACTTTGCCAATATTTTTTCATTGAGGAAACCTTAAGTTTTTTTGTTGTTTGGTTATACTGCACTGTGAGTGCCTTCTGCATTTAAGGAGGAATTTTTTTTACTTTGTAATGATGTTTCTTCATAGATTCGGCCAAAATGATAAGTGAACCTCTTTCACTTATGTATGGGATTGACTTGCAAACTCGATGTCTAGTTGCAGTTCCAGCGGAACCTGAGAGGACGTATTTTCTTGTTGGGACTTTGTCGTTAAAACAAGAGAACCAGGTTTTCACTGTCAAATCATTTGTCGTTTGCAAATGGAGTAGTTTTAGTAACTGATGGAAGCAGAGTATTTTTTTTTATTACTCGTAGGTACAGCTGGGTGGATTATTAAAGTTAACGAGAAAGACAGAGAGTTAAGGATATGGAAATGATAGGTCATTTGAGTTTTCCAGTTGTCTGTACTGGAAGTGGATGACGACTGGTTGCAAATATCAAAACGTACTTTCCCTCACCCAGCTGGTGAAATTTGGCATATTGCTAGTTCCCCTACAGATCAAAATGTTGCCGCAACGTGTTACTGTAACTGTACGTTTCTATACTTGCACTTAATTTTTTATCTGTTATTTTCAGAGATTGTTAAATATTGAGCATCATTCAATTCTATCTGAAAGTACCAGTTCAGGAGTGCGCTTTTTAAGTTGACACCGCGTTTTTTGGTGAAATGCAAATGGTTTCAGATAATGACGGGATAAAATCAGGTGCGTCGTTGTGGCGTTTAGACTATACGAATAACACATTGTCACTGATAACATCTTCTCCCGGAGGTCTCGGTGGAAAATGTTATGCGTTAGTTTTTAACAAAATTTTTTAAAACTATCTAAGAATTTTGAGCAATTCCAATTTTTTTGTCCCGAAAAGGCAATTTACTACAGTGACCAACTGCTACTTTACTTTATTGCATTTGAAACTTCATTTATTCTATAGTCTTCCAAAAATTGAACTGTTTTTAAAGAATTTGAAATTTATAAAGAGAGCCGGGATAATTTGTAAGCTGATCAGTTGATGACTCTAATCCTTTAATGTTCAAGAAAAGCTCTGAGTAGGTTAAGCACATAAATGAATTAACCGATTCTTGAGCCTCTTTCGGGTTTAAAAAGCTACCTGTTTTTCTTTTAACAAGTTACTGCTTAGGGAAATATTGCCTTTTTAAACATTTACCTTTGGTGAAAGCACCCTCCACTTCTGAAGTTGTCGGTTTGAATCAGGCCTTTTATCCTTTGTACAGGAGGGTCCGTAAGATATCAAGTTCTAGAAACACCCTTCTCGACGTCTAGTAATCTGTCTCATTCAGCTAGCTCCCCTTGCACAAATTCCCTGAGAGGATGACTGTGGCATTTAGGGATAGAAAGGTTTGCTCGGTTTTCAGACTGATGAGTTTATTTGAGGTAACAAAGCTACATTTCCAGGTTCGAGTTCCATCCTGACGGGAACAAGGCAGCCATTGCAGTCAATAAGGGGATATATTTTGTCGACCTCGAACAATCTATGGAGGTAACATGAATGGTGGCCTTCACAAAACAAAAAAATTGCGCCTTTGTAGTGGCTTGGAGTTTTTGGTAATGTCAAGCTCACGTATATTTGCTAGACTTTAGTCTAGTAATTTACAGTTTCAGATTAAAGATAGCATCAACAGTGAGTCAAAAAGTAATATTCGCGCTGTATCGTGGAATCCACATTCTGGGGGGAATATGATAGCAGCCGTTTATGACAGTACAGTTAAAGGCATTGACTCTAGATCACTTCAGTGAGCTGTGGAGCCTTTCAAATATGTCAAGATATTCAGTTGGTATTAGGTGTTTTCTTCGTTATCATATTTTAGAGATGCATTTGTTATCGACAATGCTAACGTTCCTAACGTCCGCAACCTTGATTTCAATCCAAATGTGCAATATACCTTGGCCACCTGCGGTGACGACTGTAAAGTTGCAATTTGGGATACAAGAAATACGACGCAGCGACTAAAAACCTTAGAAGACCATTCCCATTGGTGCGATCGTAAACCTGATTTTTGAGCATACTTTACTCTCTAGAAGCGTTTTTCAAAGTTATATATTTAGGGTTTGGTCAGTTAAATTTAACCCGATTCACGACCAGCTGATATTATCAGCAGGCAGTGACGCAAGATTATTTCTAAACTGTGTTTCATCTGTGAGCTCAGAGGCCCTCCACCCTTTAGATGTCTCTGCAGAAGACACAGAAACCGAAGTACATAAAAAGTAAGCTTTTTAATTAAGTACTTAAAGTCGACATTGGACCGCATACAGTAGAACTACTCATGTCCTAACTAATCTTGATCAAGACGACTAAACTAATTCTCCAAAAAATCCTCCTATTTGCCAGTCTTACTCGTGGGTGAAATGCGCACCAAAAACGCCTAGTTATAGGTAGTTACGCTATGGACCTACTTTCTGTTTAGTAGTACAAAGGTCGATTGGAAGTTGGCCACAAAAGTGCACTTTCTTTTCAGAGATCAGATCTCTGTATCATCCACTCAGTGAAATTTAGAAAATATATGGGGTACGAAATTTTTCAAAGTACAGCTTGGATGGGTAATATTTGTCAGTCTTCCGGCCAAACGACTGTCATTTAAGTTGCGGTTAAACGGCATTTGCTGGAGGGTGTGTGATCCAGTGTTTTTATAATTTTGTAGTTGACAGTGACAGAGAGACATTGACTTTTTTTTCTGATGAGTTGGATTTTGTGGTCTTACAACTATTCTTCTTCAAAAGAATGATTTCTCATCTTTGGCTACCCAGATATACAAGACCATACTGCAGTGTTTGCTTAATACATTTACGAAATTATTTATGATATAAAAATATGGAGAAATATTGTAAAGGCTTGGTGACGAAAGGCTTGAAAAGGTTGAAGAACATGAAGAATCAGTTTATGCTTGCGCATGGGCAGGAAATGATCCTTGGGTTTTTGCTTCTTTGTCTTACGACGGCAGGTTAATTATATCTCGAGTGAAGCGGCACCATAAGTACGCTATATTACGTTTGTGGTGAGTTATCTTTCAATCTTTATAATTCCCTCTGTTCTTTCCACTGGTAGGATGCAAACACCATTAAAATAATTACCAAGCCTAGTGGGTTTCCAGAAACCGATTGAAGGCCGTGTAAGCGCTTTCGATGTCAAAAGTCATTTGCCGGGCCTCTTCTTCGCCAACTTCATCAGTTGCGCTCATCTGATTCAACCTGTCAAGCCTAAAACAAAAAAAGCGTCAGAGTACAAAACCCTTTCCCGACATTCCACAATTAGTCTAGCTAAATACTTCCCAGTTGTAAACCGCCCAGAGCTTAAGCAAGTTAGTAGATTTCCCCAAAGGCGAATAATTTGCTAGCCTATTTTATTTTACTTTTTTTTTTTGAAGCCATTGTCTGTAAATCTGTTCTAATCAAATAAATAAAATATTCTCCAGAAACCAACCATTTCTTCACTTTGACTTTTGAATCAGCGTCATCCGGCAGAGCTGGGAAAGCGGAAATAGACAAATACAAGTCATTTAAGCTTGGCTGCAAGTCATCGACAGCTCTGACATTCAACTTCAGTTGATCAATGTAGGTTATAAACGTCTCAACAACGTCTTTTATAAGCTTAGGTGTGTTCTCCTTTTTCCTCACTATCACCGGGTGGCCCTCACGAATCCTTTCCAAAGCTGCCGGACACGTCATTTGGTATTTAGCCACAAACTCGTCAACCTTTTCCACTTGTGCTTGCCTCAAAGCCATCTAAACAAGAAATTAGAAAACTTGGGAATGTAACTAGACTGACCTCCACACAGTTTCGAAAGGAAATGGTGATAACAGTTCAGTAATCGAACGGGTTGAAAACTGCTGGAAGCAGTTTTCAGGTATTTGATGAGTAAGATGTATAAAACCACTTATTTCCGTTCTTTCTAAAATTGTACGACCTTTACTATTACCTTATACTGTCGCAGCAGTTTGGTACATTCACCAGCATATTCTTCGTGATTAATATAGTCACCAGCAAACAGCGTCTCTAGACATTCCAACGATTTAAGTACAGCATATAGTTCACTTAAACTATCCACTCTCTCTCTTTCTCTGTTGTTTTCGTAAAGCCGTACATCTTGCAGTAAACTTTGATCGACTTCAACACCATTCATCCTTCTGGAACAATCCGAAGCTTACAGGAAAATCTGTCAAACGTCATGTGAACCAACAAGATGAAAACATGAGGGGACCGAAAAACACGAAACCAAGTACAATGAAAAGTGTCAACGACCCTATGACGGGCAAAACCACTTTGAATAAACTCGCCTTTGCCCAAAATCCGAACCCCCAAACGGCCGTCACAATGGAAATGTAAACAGTACAAAACCCAATCCTCTCTCCATCTCCTGTCAATCTAGCACTAAATGCACTTACAGTTCGGATGTCTCAAAGCAGCGTACGAGAAGTTCTGGTGCCCCAAGTCCAATCGCAACCACGATCATGAGACAAAATACAAAAAATAATGTATTCAGTAACACTGGAGTGAATCACCGACTTACTTCAAGTATTTTGAAACAAAGTTCCCAATATTTATTGTAACAAGAAACACATAAAAAACATTGAAAGGCTTAGAAAACTTTGAGATCCGGATAGCTTCCATAACTGAAACTCAACCACAACAAATTAAGTAAAGAAGAGATATCTGACATGGGATGTATGAAGCAATGAAAAAGTCCCTACTTATACAACAAGGAAATGTAAGTTTTGCAAATCACTTCATCATCGTGAGAAGCAACCAACAATAGATTTATTTAGTAAACTGAGTAGCTATTACTCAACCAAAGAGTTTCATGTCTAATTGCCAGGTCCTGATTCCGACGGACCCCACAGACCTATAAACTTTGAGACGAAGATCTCGGCACAAAAAACTGATAAAACTAACTTAGGTTAGTTGGCTGCTTTGCTCTTTGATGAAATGATTTGCAAAACTTGCAACTTCCTATTGTATAATTGGAAACATTTCCACCATTATAAGCATCCTCAGTCAGGTAACTCTTCTTCAGCTAATTTGTTGTGGTTGAGCCGTTTCCCGGGTACCAATTCTATTACAAGAAAAAAACGCTGCAGTTGCCATTAAAAAATGCGTGCCCATTTCCCTTGCACTCATTTCTGGTGCAATAACATGGATAGAATAAAATGCAGTCGCAAGAAGGGCAGTGAACTGTAGGCATAATACAAGAACAGGATTCCCGTCATGATTGAAATAGCTCTGCAAAACAAATTGGTAAGAAGTCTAAAGAAAAAATAATGCAAAATATTGCTTAAAATGTGAAAATTCTGAATCGACCTATACGAAACCGACATCTTGAAAATAAAAAGAAATATTGCTAGCTTAATTAAGACTACGTATAACCAAAAAACATCTCTTAAATTAAAAAATAAGCTTGAAATATTTTACAAGCCTTATATTTGAAGACTAATTCAAAACGTGAATTAACTAGTAAAAAAGCAAAAAAGTGTAAAAATTACCAATCCAGAAAAAAGGAAATGTGAGAATACAACTAGAACGACATCCTTCCACCAAGATTTATTCTCTTCTTTCTTGTGGCAGGCGTCCCAAAACACTACAGTCCAAAACATGTGAGACAAAGTTAGAAAGCAAGCAGAAAGCGCATAAGTAATCTTAAAAACAGCACACTTTTGCAGCAGTCAAATACTAAACGAGAAGTTGAAAAATATATTCATCTCAAACACCTATTTCATTTTGCACCTTTTCAAATAAAAGATGCTAAAAATTAGAACTGGTCCGTTCCCCGCCACAACTATAGACATTCAAATTCTATTATGTTATTTGGCTTAAGTATATATAATAATTTCTGCCGCTAGAAAATGAAATTTTAAATTCAGTAAAATGTCGTTTGCACTGTATTCTATATACCAGTTAAGAGCCCTGTTCTTGACAGCAAAGAAAAACGTATAACTCAAGGAGCCGTTTACCTACAAACTCTGAAACAATTTGGACTTTCCTATAACCCAAAAAAAAGTTACAACTCCGTTTTCACAGACCGAATGAAAGGGTACTTTATAAAATAAACAAGAAATAAAAAGAAATTAAGGTGAGTAAACCTGACTTACAGGAAAAAATTGATCCTTCGCATACAGCTTAATAGATAAGCGGTCTTTCACTTCCGGAACAGTTGCGGGTAAACCAACAGTCCCTTCACCCCAAAAATCTGCCACAATATTGATGATCAAGAAATATGCAGCCATGACACCCATACCAAGTCCACAAACAATAGCTAACATATGTCTAGCGTTGTACAAAGTGTGGACACCTTTGTGGTGGTGATCACTAGCTGCCATAATGCTTAAACCTCTAAATGTTTTTTTAGTTGATTTCCCAACTTATAAATGAAGTTTCATAAGTAATGTAACAGAAACAACAAATCGAAAACTTTACTTTTGCGCCTTTTTGATTAAAATGAACAATACAAGACGTGCCGCTTCCTGGACAAGTATTGAAAGTATTACGAAAACTGGCAAAAACTCTCGTAACGGAACCAGAGCAAACCAAAAAAATGAAGAAAAGAGGAGCGACAATAACCAAAAAAATGCCCTGAAAAAATATAGCAATTCATCTTTAAAATACATGAAAATGATTTTCACTACCTTGTGAAAAAATACGCCTCGAAGTAAGAGAAAGAAAAAGTATGAAATAAAAAGGCAAAACTATAGAAAGTGTCTCTAGAAACCCAATATCCAGAAATATTAGACTGTGTAGCCTCACCCAAATGCAAATAAAATTATTCTTAACGGATCCATCATTATAAAACGCCGGAATATGGCCAAAGCAGGGGAAAATGCTAACAATATAAAACCAATTCCAGCGACGGCTGTCATGACTTGCTGGCGGTTAATACATAAAACACAACTGCCACTACCACCGTTATTATGCAAATGGTCCAGAACCTAAAACAGCGTGTAACAGTGGTATCGTGCAACAGAGTACTAAAACTGGCGTTAAAAAAATTGCTGCAAACCGCAAAATGTAAACATTTTTGAAACACTTTTAATAAAAGCAAGAAACATCGATCCTCACCAAAACTTGTGCCTTCAACTGTAGAATCGCTCTATCCACATCCTAGAACAACGCATATTTTCCGCTTGCAACATCATCCAACTCACGAATTAAGCAGTTAAAATATACGCCACGCTGCAATCCCACCAACTCCAACCTCTCAGATTCGCAGATAATAAACGGAAATGACTTCAAGGCAATTTCCAATGCAAAGCTGGGTGCCTAGCGCAATCCCTACAAGCTATAATGGAAAAGCAATAGGAACCACAGTTAAAACAAGGAAAGCAACAAAAACAACCTTCCCCTATTCATTTTCAAGGTAATCCATGAGCTCAGACCCAGAAGCAAAAGCAGAAAAATAATTGAATGACTTTATTTTAAAATTATTTCACACTTTACAAGTTAAAAAACCATATCCAACAAAACAATGAAATTAGGACAAAATTGCAATCTTCACAGATTTCCAAACCCGCAGTATTTTCAAGAAAAAATAATACAGAAAAAAGAAAAAGTGGGTAAATCTTTTCAAAAAAATAACCAATTAATAAAACTCAAGCAACCTAAGAAAAAAAAAGCTGAAGTCCTCAAACTTTGACAAATCAGTGTTCAAAATGAGTCACGGATACCAGAGCGTAATATTAATATGCAGATAAAACCAGAAAACACCTTTTAGGCCATTAGCAGCTTAAGTAGGAGAAATAAAAAATTGAAATTAATAAAGGTAAAAAGCTCAGCAAAAATATCAGATCAGGCTTTACAAACCATATTTTGGAAATAAAACTAATATACAGATGGAAGCAAGTTGGAAGTCAGCAACAGCACATCAATGACGTAGGCTTCAAACATTCATGTAAATAAGCATGAAAAATAAAAATGAAGTAGTGAAGCTGATACTACCACTCACACCCAATAGCGAAAGCCAAAGAATATTATAAAACAGCATAAATGCCTAGTATTCTAAAAGTTCCTCATCAAAAAAATTTTTTTGGTTTTTCAACCAAAGACTGAACATACCAAAAATACTTGACTAGCTACAGAGAAGATCTGGCACATCGAAGATGCATATTAAAGCTTCGAGTGTGCAGAATTAATGAAAGTGAAGATATTTACAATAATTTACCAGTTTTCGAAGCTATAAATTTGACGAGACTACTAAATTCTGGAAAACATCACCACTTTCATTACTATTGCACGCCGGCAAGATAGTTGGAATAAACAAAGTGACAGAGGCAGAACAAGCACCTGTAAGTCGGCGAGGGAGAGCCAACTAGTCAGGTACATGATCAAACCTCAGTCAGAAATGTACAATACCTATATTAACACAATCTAATTAACTTTTACATAAGAAGGCGGAGAGAACTTCCTCTTTAAAGCCTTAATTATATAAAGAGGAAGACAAGAAACAACAGTGATAGCCGTAACCTTCCCCAAAAATATCCATGATAATACGAATTGTCTGTCGAAAAAATTTTTCATGAAAAGCAAAGAAACGGCATATAATGCTAATGATAAAGCCTGAAATGAAAGTTTGATAACCGCATTTAATACTTTTTATTTCAAAATTTCCTCTGTTAACCAAGATTACTGTTTTTCAATGACGATAAAACGAACCTGAGCGAGCAGCATCGCGTAATGCCACGTATGTACAGTTAATGCAACCATGATCAATTCCGTCACGATCAAAGCCGTGAAACTTATTGACACGATGTGGATAAAATCGGAGTCAAAAACTAGCAACGCGCCATACATTATCACTGCTCCTAAAATGGTATCAAAAGATTAATCAAATAAGGGTGAAAGGAAGAGTATGAAGGAGACACGCTTGTTGCCGAGAAAATTACAGACAAAATTGACAAACTACCTTGGTAAATGCTGATCAAGACCCAAATAAGAAAAGTCTTGTAGGACAACGACCTCCCTTTCCCCAACTCTTTGTAGAGCTCTGGGAATGTCAAAAGATTAGATGCCGTTACATCACGGTCGACAACCAAAGAGAAAACTGGCAGCATCGTATAGACTGTAGAGTAGCTGAAAATATGGGATTTTGTGCGGAAAACTATTGGTATAATTACTAAAAATAACTAGTTTATCAGAACCATTACTACTCACCAAACCATCAGCAGACCTTGATAAAGCGAGACAGAAGCGAAATAGAAAACACACGAAAAGACAGCTTGCATTGTCGAAATTATTAAACCTACAAACCCATCAGTAATGTCTAGCAGACAGTGTTCCAGAAAAAAGTTGCTGAGAGCACTAATTAACAAGACACCAAGAAATCCTAACAAACCTCTATGCATCACAAACTGGGAAAGCGCACAAGATCTTTTATAACAGTAACGGCCATGTACTAAAAGAAGGCGGCAAACATAGGAAAACTGGGTTATTGAGAAGTCAGCAGCCAAAGAAGCTTGCTTTCCTGTCAAAAAATAAAAATATTTACCATTAAACACTACTACAATGAGAAAGATATTAGGCTCAAATTAAGAACAAAATCATTACAACGCAGAAACCAACCCTCATGAGCATCAATACCTATCCCAGCGTGAGCAGCCTGAATCATCGATACGTCGTTTCCACCATCACCAATAGCAGCAACACGAGAATTCGGGCGGTACTTCCGAAGTAAGTTAACAATTTGAGCCTTTTGCTCTGGAGAACATCGACAGCACACTACAGCTTTACAACCACAAACCTATAAATGCCATCGAAAACGCCATCATTTAAGAAGTAAAAATAGGCATTCCCAAAATAAAAGTCAGTGTTACAACCAGAAGCTAAGAAACCTTTGAAAACGTTTAAAGATTAAGTGGTGGCTAAAAAAAATAAAAATTATTGTAAATTACTATAAACTGCAACATCGTACAAAACTGGTAGCACAATAATTATTCATAAAGTTCTCAAACTCGCTAAGAAAAAAACTTCCATTTCGAATAGCGTAAGTATTAAACGTTAAACGATACTGAACAAAAAGTTAATTACATCTTGACAACCAATAAGGAGGCATAATTAGAGTTCTAAAAAAAATTAAGAAGTTATATAACATGCAGTATGAAATACCAATTCTGCAACTTCTGCTTCATAGTACTGAAGACATAAATTCAGCGATGATCCCGATATTACCAAAGCAGCGTCGCTTTTCCTAGAATGATACAGTTTTATAAATATTCCCACGATTCGCTAATATCATTAATTTTCAGTAACAGTTTCAATATTAGTTTTCAATTCATTTTATACCAAACTTAATTTCAAAATCAAAATAACATTGGCAAATAACGAAAAAACTTATAATATGATATAATGTCCTCAGAAAGAACCTTCTTAATGCACTTAATTCTTTGTGTACTTCAGTGCGCGTCTCGACCTGTTTAAACAAATGCACAGAATCTGTTTTTGAAAAAAGGCCTGAAGACTTCGCTATACAAAGAGCTGTCTCCATTTTATCACCAGTTAACATCCAGATTTTAATCCCTGCATTCCTAAGCAACTCCAATGACGTACGAACATGGTCCTGAATAATCATAAATACGAAAAAAATACCAAGGAATAAAACAGAATTGTACTGAAAAAATCGAAAAAAATTAATCGCATACTTTATCCAAACCACACCTGAAGCCTATCTTCTACTCCCGTCAGACAGAGAAGTTGCAAATTCGTTTCAAGACGACCTAATACAGCAGCCATATGTTCACTACGATCAACTACCTCCATCTTGGCTTGATGGTAATCTCTTTCAAATTCATCTAACTGCTCTGCAGTCAATACTTTTTTTGCAACAACCAAAGTACGCAGCCCTTAAAAAATGTATTGTACCTACTCAAACAAAATAAGCAGAAGTTTCAAAAAACTTTGCCCAAAAAAAACTTAAAAAAAACAGTATATGAAGAATCAAACATAGAATTACCATACAGAAAAAATAAACTTATATAACACATTAGAAAATGAAAAATTCAATTTGAACACACCTTCTCTTGCCATATTGCTACACTCCTCTTCAAGCCAATCGTTATACTGCACCATAGCTGACATAACCGTGTCTGCTCCCTTCATCAAAAAGCTTACTTCATCAGTAGTTTCGTCCTTAACCATAAAAATATCACTTTTTTATTTCAGTGTTATTACTAGGAGTATTTAGCAACTGCGTAAAATATAACGATAGTCCAACAACCATAAAAATATAAGTCACTGGCTCACTTTGACAATTATACCCATTCTTTTAGTTTCCGAAGTGAACGGAAATAAATGCAGTATTTGAAAAGAACGTGTTTGGCCATTAGTTAACTGCAGTTGAATAGAAGTTAAGTCCCTCTGCGATAGGCGAACTCCAACAGACTCAGTCCATTCAACAAGAGCTACCTGGTAAAAAGATTTATATCTGGCTACAACCGCTGCAACATGCAAAAGATATTTAAACAACTTAATACGTTTGGTAACCCAAGAACGACATACTTCATCAGGACTAGCTGCTTGGTAACTTAGTTTGCCCCCATCATTGATGGGCGTAACATTGTGGCAAAGTGCAATTGCCTCTACCGCCGTCTGAAGTCTACTTGAAAAGGAATGTCTGCCAAGTTTCCCGCTGTACGCGGAAGAAACATGCCTTGAAACTTCCTGGAAAATGAAAATAAAAGAAGAGGAAAATGAGGTTGGTAGACTGAGGAAAGCAATCGGTAACTTCAAAAAAGGAAGTAGAGGAAGTTAGGGTCAATTAAAAAATGGTGTATTTTAACCTCAAAAGCGTTTGAATTGAATGACACAGTGCCTAAGTGAATTTTCTTGAACCTCATTTCATTTTTCGTCAAAGTGCCCGTCTTGTCCGACAGTAAAAACGATATGCGACCAAGCTCTTCGGATATCGTACTACTTCGCACTACAGTGTCTGAAAGGAAAATTTTCCGCGCTTAAATTCATCTGATTCAAATCCCAATAAAAGTGAGAAATTTCAGCACTCCAATTCAAACTATCAAAGGACAAATAAAAATAAAGAAAAAGACCATCAAATACCCTAAACATACGAGGAAATTAAAGAGAAACGAACAGTCTTGAAGCACAGGTAACTAACCAGGAATCTGACGATCTCTCGCTATTTGAGAAGAGTATACCAACTTAGCCAAATCCAAGTTAACCCGTAATGATATCGGGATAATGTAAGAAAACAACAGCACGAAACGCATCAAATACCGATACCTTGAAAAAAATACAGTCTAACGATCTGCGCTTCGATTTTCAAAAGACTGTTAAAATTCAATTTTCAAAAGATCACAAGCAACCGTAGAAAACAGTCGTCAACATATATGTGAATTTAAAATAAATGTTACCAATTCTTGTCGAATCCTTTCATTGTAACCATAACAGAGGCGAGCACTAGGACAAACATAAAGAGTATCTTTGTTAGATTGTTCACCTTCAAAATAATAGTACAAGTACTAAAGAGAAAAAATGACAGATTAAAAAGATAAGCAAATAATTTTCCCACTTACACACCCTGCTGAAAAATAACAAAATTTAATGTAGCACTACTGCAGATGACAGATAGAATTACAAAAGAAACCTCTCGATCTAAAAGTCCGACTTTACTTTCAGGTAATGTTGTATTCATCACAGATCTCGTTTCTCTACCAGTATAAACAACCAAACCAACAGCTTGACCACTAGCAAGAACTGTATTTGCCCATAAAACATTCTCAACATTTAGAGACCCATCCTGCGTAGAATCCTCACTGCCGACCTATAAAATAAGTCTTCAGAAAAAACTCAAAAATACTAGAGCATTATTTCTCCTTCTCCCTCACTTTGCTAGTCAGTTGGTCCCTGAAACTGTTGGCCTCCTACGCCGATTTAAGTAAGCGTCAATGGAAGTAAGAAAAAATAGTTATGTGTAAACACCAAAGAAGCTTTTTTTGGAACTCGCCTTAAATGTACCAACAAAGTCGTGAATGTCGTTTTGAGGCGTCTCAGCATAAACCTCCATGTTTAAATCAAAAATTTCCTGTAATGTACCCGTCAGTGTTTCAAAAACAGTTTGTTGTTTTTTATCAAATTTCGTTATGAATTCACCACTGAGAATTACTAGGCAGATATCGGAAAGAGTCAAAATTTATAAGCCTTTACAAATAAGATTTTAGATTAGATAGGCGCTCTATCAAACAGAACCTCATCGCACAGAAGATTTTGTGTAACTGGAACTGCAATCCTCAACTTCCAATCCGTCTCACCATCTAACTGATCGGTACGTATAAACGAAGCACCAGTTTTCTCCGTTGTTCGTAGCAAAACAACATCAGCAGGCACTCTTTTGTTTTTAGGTATAACAATAAGATCACCGACCAAAATATCGCTTGAAAATGGCCAGAATTAAATAAAGCCACATATTCTGATAAAAGAAAAAAAACATGCCAAGCAGACTTACGAGCTTTTAATTGATTCTCTGCCGTGAGGAGTGAGTTTTTCATACTTCTCACTGTTCATTTCACAGTCCCTCAAATATCTTACGAAATCGTCGAGAGCCTCACGAATCAGTGTTATCGTCAGTACAAAACCCTGAAAGCAGAATTAAATTTTAAAAGTTATTTTTTTGAATAGTTGATCAATTCTTTTCCACCTGTTAGCCTGCCTGTCTTCGAGCTCACCTACTCTACTGAACACGATAAGTAAAAAAAAAAGCTATGCAAAAGTACTGACAGACAACTAGCGGCAGATCAGAGAAATAAAAACTGAATAATTTTAACAATCACAAAGGAAATAAAGCTAAAAAAATTTTAGATTAAAAAAAGTAAAAGGAATGGTTCCTTCGGCTACTAAATATACGAAAGTTAATAAGTACTACCCTAGATATATCCCCCCTATACCACTGAATAAGAAAAACAGACCAAATTTTGACTTTCCAAATCACAAATTAAGAGGGCTTTTTAGAGAAACATATGACAAAAATTAAAAGTCAGATCATACCAATGGGCCCCAGTAGGTGATTGGAGCACCAATTTGAATAGCTGGTATAAACTGGCTGCATGCCATACATAAAAAATAAAGATTGAGGAAGAACTTGAACTGTTGAAATAAAACCTGAAATGAAACACCTTGAAAGAAAAAGTACGAAACATTTACTAAATTAAAAGAGCTAAGGCGATAATGACCCAGAAATATTGTACAACTGGAATCTTGGTGAAAAGGAAAGACAAAAAAGATCAAAGGAGAAACAAAAAATAAACAGAGAGGTTGAAGTAAATGGAAATATGTCAATACGAACCAACGGAATAAATGTAAAAATATTATATTTACGGTTGCAAACAACGTTCTCTGGAAACGTATACTGAAGGCTTGATATGGGACCATGACCAATTCGAACAGTCCTTGAGTGCAAAGCGCGCCGACGGCGAAAAATACTCCAACATCTGCATGCAATTGAATCAACAAACTTAAAATTAAAAAAGGAACGAGTTAACAGATATAAAGTAAAGCGACATTTAGATAACTTACAATAAAAAAAGTAAAGTAGAAACAAAAAAAACTAACAAAACTACCAAACAAAGAGGAGCACGAAAAGCAAATTAAAAAAAAAAAAATAAATTCCTGCGAAAATACTTTTAGTTCGAAATCAACAAAGGGAAAAAATGAACAAATTTCTTTTTTTAATTTTGTCATAGAAACCTGAACATATTGCAGTTAGCAGAATGAGTGGATGAAGTTGAGCTAGAATTCGAAAGCAAGAAGGTGTCGTCTCTGCTCGAGCTCCCTCCTGTATTCGAAGCACCCATTAGTGGCTGAAACTCCGTCAATCCAATAGCACTTCCGTCCCACGCCGTCCGGCTATATTGCATCCAGTTTTCACCCGAGACGACGATAAATTCTCTCAAACACCAAAACTATGCGAATACTTTTTTAAAAACAAACAAAAAATCAGACGTTACAAGCCGCTTACAATTAAACGTTTAAAATTAGAAAAACTCCACTAAAGGTACCGATATTGAAGACATTAAAAAATATCTATTGCTTGAATAAAAACAAAATGTGCCTTAATACGTTATATCATCGACAACAAAATTTGCAAAGCTGAGACAAGTAAAATGTCGGATGATTACGTATTTATGCCACACTTCAATGATATGATATGATATTTCCATGCGCACACAGGTTGCCAGTTGATTTTTCAATGATATAAAAACCTTATTTGGCAAAATTCCGCGAAAGATTACTCAAAACATACTTCAACATATCAAATCATTTACTAAAACATTCTATTATAAATCAAATGAGTCATCCAAACGTCCCTCTTATCTATTTTCCGCGCGGTACAAACGAGAAGGTACTTTTGAAAAAAACTCACAAATGTTAGACAAAAATCTGCCCATTCATTACTGATGACATGCTAATAACCCAACAAAAAATACGCAGCGAAGAAATAAAAAAAAACAGCTTTTCGTCTCTTCTCATCGGTTACTCCAACTACCAAAAATTCTGTTTCTCGAAGAAAACCCGTCCTGCATCTAATGTGAAGTACAGATTAACCTCCATAGCGTAACCTTTAATGTATGCCAAACTATCTAAAGCCGTCACAAAGACAACCGTTTTATTCCTCAATTTAAACAATAATCTCTCACAACATTACATGTATATTAATAGAGGCAGCACAATAAACAACACTACACCAACCTCTTTTTACCATCCATAACACGTAGTTTCAGCCATAAAAAAATTAAATAAAAGTCAAATCGAATTTTATACATGAAAAAATCAGCACTCCGATTAACTGAATTTTCAGAATAAAATTTCAACATTACACCAGCCTCCCATCGTTCATTATCATTTTTTACCAATCCACCATAAGCGCACACCTCTCTCCGTGCACATACTGCACATATGACAATGCTAATAACGACACGAAATTTTTGACTATTTTTAGAAGTAAGCAGCGAACCAATACTTAAACAGCTAAAAGTTAGCGTACAAGTCAATCCCTTCCACTCATTTTGCCTATAGAAGCATAAAAATATTCAAAAAATTAACAAAAAATTTAATATTATATTAATTGTACAACGCGAAGCATCGTCATCACCGACAGCCCAATCTAAAAAATTTGAATGGCTTATAAAGGTTTTATTTACCAAATACCTGTGCATTTTATCTCCCATGAACAACTCATTCCCTGACAACAGTTCCTTCATTTACAAGTGTAAACTACAGAAAAATTCAAGATATTATGATACGTTACTGCAGACTTACCAGTAACCCTACAGCCCCAAAAAGGCAAACCACATGAATTCAGTAATGAAATGAAAGTATAAATACCCGTCTATGAAATGGACATCAAATACAGGAGAAATCATTTTACCATTTCGACCCTCATTCTGAAATAAATCCTATTCTACTTCGGCAAAAATTCACTTTTTTCAACACATTTATCGTGCTATCAAAGAAAAGAAAACGTCGATAATTATAGAAAGTATCTTATAGTCTTTAAGTCTAGTTGTTACAGTCCAACCAGCTGTTTCAGGATACTGACAAACAGGTTTTTTTTTTTGAGGTCACTTCCTTCAGCAATAGATTTGACACCGCCCAGTGGCTGTACAGCAAAAGCCGAACACAGTTGCTTGCTGCATTACAAAAAAAGTAGACGATTAAAGAAAAAAAAAATATAACAACATTAACGATCAAACGAAGGCAACATGGAAAGGAAAAAAAAAAAAA